CCATAAATCAGTATTGCTTTTGGGTAAAATTGTACCTAGAGCCTGTGTGAATTCATAATTTCTGGTTCTGTAGGAACTGAACAATAAAACACATGAAGATACATCAATCTCACCTCTAAAAGCAGGCTTGTTGGCTGCCAATCCATGCAGGTATGCAAATTACATTCTCTGCCATGTTTCAGTTACAGATATTTACATGTGTCATTTGCAGATATTTTGTGATGATTATGTTTTGTACCACTGCAGCTACCAATTCATCTCTACCAATGTGCTCATTTTGTAAAATCTAATCACTTATATGCTTTGCTCTGTGTTGTCTGAACCCAGAGGTTAAGCAGCCAGTACCAGAACTGCAGTGTGGCACGCAGGCATGTATCAGCTAGGCAGCCCGGCGATAGCATCGATTATGTGCAAGCAAGAGGCAGCTCTGTACTCCAGCAAGGCAGTTTATTGCCTACCGAGTCACTATACCAAGGTATTTTGATTGCACTCCTTTCTTTTGCCCCTTGCTTCCTTTGATCTTGGCCAATTGGAAGATTGTTGTTGCCTTCCTGTCTTCCTGATGTGTGATGCCTCTTCATAATCTAGAGCCTGTTGATCAGATCAAAGTCTCGAAGCATCTAAAAATTCCAAGAGAAGTGTGAATGTCAGAGTACATTTCATACTTACCTTCAGTAAAGCGGACCTCATCATGTTTCCTTTGCCTTTCTTTTCCTACTTTCATATGTTATTCTTACATATGTTGATTATTGACTTATTTATCTATTTTTATGTTTGCCAACTGGCTGCAATTTTAAAGTTTGCAAAAACTCCTCTGGATGTACAATTTCTGGTTAAATAACGGCGTGTCTATTATTGTTACCTGCTGTTACTGTGCTATCCTTTTTTTGCATACATGTTTACTTTGATCTCCTGTAATGACCATGTCTTGCATAGGTCGTATATGTATTGCCTGATAGCATGTGGCCAACTTTCAGCACATATATGGAGAACAATGCCGAAGGACCTTTCATGGTACCACAATCTAACCTTTGCAAGAGCATACAAAGAAAAGATTAAGAGGTAATACAACTTTTCAGGTATTGGATTCAATATGTACTACTGAAAATGCATTAGAATACATTTAAAATCTGATCCCACCCCTTGTCCTTTTTTTTTGTCCCTTACAGCTATAAGCACTTGAAGGAATTCAGCTAGCAAATGATGACCAGGTACGTTCCTTAAATTCTTTATAATCAGTGTTTTTTCTTTGATTATCTAAAGATTCTCTTCCATTGGTTTTATTTTGGGTTTCCCTACTCTCCAATTATACTCTACATTTGTATGTCTTCTTGTGCAGAGTACATGTTAGTGAAATTCAGAGTTGTTCCACCAGTAATCGGTACCTGGTAAGCCTCATTGTTGCCACCTGTTTTCATTTCCTATTCCATTTTAGATCTTCATATATTGGATTTGTACCTAGGCATGAAAGAAAAAAAATCGAAAGCTCATGTTTTGACCTACATGGTTTTTAATGTGGTGCCATTTTTATCTCTATCCAGACTAAAGGACTATGTTTTTCTGTTACCCTCTACTTCATGATGTTATTGCTTGGTTCTCAAAGAGGATTGTAGGTTTTATGCACATATTAATTTTTCCTTCAATGTCAGACCTTATCGCCTTGAAACCTATGGTCCCATCATCCTGCCATCCAGAGTCCAATTTTTATTCTGGTCTTAGCTTGTAATCCTAGCACCTGGGTTGCACGTGATTTGTTCAGTTACATTCAGAGTTATAGTAGGTCTAATTCTTTTTGCCCTTGGGAATGTACCAGACGATGATGAAACCCCCACCCGTCACAACCCACCTGAGTAAATAATCTATGATCAAAGTATACATATATAGTGTTCTATGCCGTAACGGACAAAATGTTTCCTAACATACTTCCTTTTAATATTATGTCTGCCAAAAAATTAGGTCGCCAAAAAATACCAGGAAATCCTTTGTGCAGAAAAAGCTATTTCACAGTGAAACTGACGATGAAAAGGCGAACAAACTTCGTGCCGATAAAATGTTTTTTTCTTTCTTTCTATGCAGATTCGTACTGCCTCACACTATACAATCTAACTCACACCCCACTTTTGCATTCCAGGTTCCAAACATCTCAGGCGAAGTTCCTTTTGTCTCCGGACTATGCAATCTGCAATATAGCTTGCCTGGACGATGTACTCTGTCTGCATAAGGACTTTAAAAACTTATATGCTGTATGATGAAGAGCCCACAGTTCTTAGATGTATTGCTGCCTTTTGCATATGCGCCATAAACGCTACTGCAGTACCTGGTTACCCGACTGAATCTGTCACCGCAGACGTTTAGTTTTCTATAGACTATGGTGCTTTGCCACACTACAGTCTTTATGTCACGCCCATGATCCTAAGCAGATACAAGTGCCTATCAGGTACTATGTTATCTCCGAACTGTCACCCTGTGCCATGACGTGAAATCTATATATATATATATATATATATATATATATATTGCCTCTTGTAAGCTGTCTTCTGTGGGCTGTGGTCCTGTGGACGCAGCCGCCAACTGTGGCCATCGATATGGCATATCTAGCCAGCAGGCCGTCTTAATTAGGTACTTTGGGGGGCCTCTACTAGAACTGTAAATCTGTTAATATATATAGAAGACCAGCATTTTTGGTAGGAAAAAAAGTCTATTTACTATTTAGGTTGTTCACTTAATCCTCTAAACTAAATTTTCGTTTGATTTAATTTACTACCCTGAACTATTTACATTGGTTCATTTCACCACCTAGTGGAGCAGGTTGTTTTTGTTTCACTTCATGCATGTTACGTTTGAAGTTCAAATTTTGTGGAGCCATATAGATGACAACGCAATATATTTTAAAAAATATATATTTTGAGAACTTTTTATGATTATTTTTAATGGATATAGCATTTATAACGTAAATGATCTTTTAGCGTAGGTTATATGATATATCATCTACAATCTTATAAAATTTGAGGAGCGGGAAGGGGTACCTGAGGAGGGAAGCTAAATGTCAGATTTTGATATGAGGTTATGTGGGATAAAGATTAAAGTTAGATATTTTGCTTTTTTGAGAATTTCTATACTATTTCTCTAATTTTCTAACCCGCCATGGTGGGAGGATCATCTTTTCTATTAGTAAATAGATAGAGAAAAAAAAATCAAATTCCATTGGAATTCATTATTGAAAAAGGGACAAACTCAGATCCATCTTCGTCTGGTTCGCCGCGCCCACCTCCGAGATCTGGACATGAGCATCGGGACCTCGGATGCGGCCAACGATGGACAGGACGACCGGCGTGGTGCTCGGGTTTTGTTTGTGTGTGCACACCTACCGCGGTGGATGCGTCGGTGTCGGTGTCGGTGTGCCTGCCTCCCTCTTGCAAGGTGGGACCTGCCCCTACTTCTCCAGCGCTGACGCCCGTCTCATGTTCGATGGAAGGCAGCAGAGGACATCATTAATTTGATGGGCTTTTATTTGTTCCCTAATTTGATGGGGCTTTATTTCTTCTTTACTGGGAAGCCAAAGTTCTCCGGCTGCTGGACGATGGAAGATGACGTAGCTGGAAGCTGCACCTACCCTCTGTTACTTCCTCACTCTCAATTGTCCCAGTAGTCTTTACGCTGAGGTATAGTCAGATTTCTCGCATCTAAAAGTATTGACTCTAGCTATATTATGTTACAGTTGGATTTCTTAAGAATTTTGGGCACTTTTCTGTTATCTTTTTGTTTCCTATTTTTCATTTCAGTACGATACTGCCTTTTGCCTTCCATTGTTTGCAACAGAATAAAACAGTCCACGAACTGAATGGTTGTCATTCTTTCATACATGTACTGTCGCAATGGCAAATTCTTTTGGCATAACCATGAGTCACATGGATTGGTTTTGATTTGACCCTCATACATCATGCAATAAATTGGCAATCTCCATACCCTGCAACATACTATATATTGTAATAAACTGACCTCCTTTGTTTTGGCGTTTGGATAGATGGAAACAGGGGGTGGGATTAGGAAATAGGAGAAGAAATTAATCTATTGGTTTGGGAAGAGACACGGTATGGGTATGGGTTTCACGCTTCATCGTTCAAAACCCACCGGCGCGGGTGGGTTTGGGCGGGATACGGTGAGGTGGCATGCAAAATTACCTTTTTGCTATAAAAAAAAGTGACTCTGCATAAAGCTCGGTGCCCTGTTCGTCTCCCTCATCCCGGATCCCCCGGTCTCCAGCACGCATGCCTACCTGGACGCCACTGCCGTCCACAGCCTCCACTACGCGCGCCGGCGGCTGCGCGCCCCGTGCCTCTACACGCTCGCGTCCCGGCGCCCCAGCAGCCGCGCACCCGAGTGCCTCGGCGAACTCTCACTGTCGCCTCGACGGCAGTGTCGTCGCCGCTCGGCCCCGTGTCCGCAAGCACGGTCGGCCCTCGCTAAATCTCCCGCCTGAATCCTACTTGGCTCTAGCAACGTGGCCACCGACCAGCTTGAGCAAGTGATTTTTCTAATTCTTCCATCCTGTCTCAGTTCCTGCCCTCCATTTTACTTCTTTCGTTGATAGATGACTGCTTTCTCCCCCATGCTTGATGATTAGTTGTGCATCCTGTCCAACGAATCTGAAGTTTCATGTATAGAAAAATTAGGTGGGAAAGAATCACTGTTCGTCGGTTTGTTCCCAGATGTGTTCTAGATTAACTAATAATAAGTACTAGTGCTCTCTTACTTTATTAGCCTAGTGCGTTGATCTTATATAGTATATATGCATGATTTTGGTCTTGCCTACCAATGTCACTAGTATGTACATTACCCCACTTTATTTCAGTAGTAATTTTCACTAATGTATCCTCACATGTGTAATTAGCTTGCATCCATCAACCCGTTCGCTTGTTGGTTTCAGCCAGGGCTTATCAGCCATGGTACAGTATTTTTCTCTCACAACAAACCAGCAACGGCCGGGCTTATCAGAGATAATGGCTCCAGGGTGTATCAATATCTTGATGTATCATGGAGGTGCTTTTTCAAAGCACGGTGAACTAACTTATGATGGAGGCGATGTCACACTTTTTCCAAAAATTGAGATGGACAAAATGTCCTACTACCGTTTAGTGCAGCTGGCTAAAACTGTAGGCTTCAAGGAAGGCGATACTCTCTATTATGCCATTCCTGGCCGTAGCCTTGATGACGCTGGTATTGACCACCTCAAAGATGATGCTTCTGTTTGTGACATGATGAAGTATTCGAATCAGGCCAAGTTTCTAGAGGTTTACATTAAGCATAATGAAAATGTTGTTAGCGCCTATCCAACTTGTGATGACGCGGCCCAACAAGTCAACACTGAAGAGGTATTATTTATGCTTCAGTGTACGTAATCTTGTCATGCATATTTTAATTAATTGTGGTTTGCGCATTGTTTGTTTGTGTGTATATGTTTGGCAGTGCATGCCTTGTTTTGCTCCTATGTGTTTTAAGTGTAGCGAACCCAAACTTGAAGCTATTATTAATTTCAAATTTTATTTCACAGAAATGACCCATCCTCCAGCAAAGAGAGACATCCTAGTCTTATGCCAACAAATGGGACGTCGTAGAATAAGGCTTCTGATGGCATTACATGTGCCAGTACTGCATTGCCTCCTATTGATTAGAAAGCGTCAGATTAGGCTAATTAGGGAACCTTGTAGGTTTGACCCAGAAAGTCGATCAAAGAATTTGAATGATATCATCTATGAAAGTGACATCCTGTGTGTTGAGCAACTGCGGATGGATAGGCGGTGTTTTTGGACTTTCTGTAATTTGGTCACAGATATTGGGGGATTAAGGGATACTAGAAATGTCAAGGTGGAGGAGATGGTTGTAATGTTTCTACATATACTAGCTTACAACGAGAAAAGTCGCTCCATGAGGACAAATTATCAACAGTCTCAAGAGACGATAAGTCGGCACTTTAATAATGTGCTAGGAGCAGTGCTAAAGCTTTGGAGGGTGCTGCTTAAGAGCCCACAACCAATCACAGACAACTGTAAGGATGAAAGATGGAAATGGTTTAAGGTAAAACTAAATTAAATAATAAACAGTCCTATAATTTTTTTTCCAGACTAACAAGATATTTGTTTTTGTTTTCATAGAATTGTTTAGGCGCTTTAGATGGTACATATATAAAAGTTAGAGTCCATCTAGTTGATAAACCAAGGTATCGATCCAGAAAGAATGAAATTGCCACAAATGTTCTAGGTGCTTGTGCACCTGACATGCAATTCAAATATGTATTAGCTAGTTGGAAAGGGTCTATTGCCGATGCAAGGATTCTCCGAGATGCTTTGGCTAGGCCAAATGGTCTCAATGTTCCTCGTGGTGAGCAATATTAGTTAAGTACAGACTACTGTCCATATACACCTACTAAAGCTTAGAAAATAAATTGTGCTTTTTGCAACGTAGGCTCCTATTATCTTGTGGATGCTGGTTACAAGAATTGTGATGGATTCCTCGCTCCATATAGAGGACAGCGTTACCACCTAAAAGAATGGAGCAACCCACCTACAAAAAAAGGAGGAATTGTTTAATATGAGGCACTCTTCAGCAAGGAATGTGATAGAAAGAACCTTTGGTTTACTGAAGCTACATTGAGGTATAATTAGAAATGGTTCTTATTACCCAATAGATACCCAAATTGGTATAATCCTAGACTGTTGCTATCTGCACAATCTCATCCAACAACAAATGAGTGCTGATCCATTTGAGCCACAAGTTGATGCTTTCTTGGAGCATGAAGGCAACACCTTAGGTGTGATTGACCGTACTGAATCGTCAACTGAGTGGACGGAATTTAGAGATGTTTTAGCAAGTATGATGTGGGATGCATGGAAAGCAAAATGTCAACGATAACTTGGCATTGTAATGCTTCGCATGGATTTTGTAGCTTACTCTATTGTTCTATAATTTTGAACATTGTGAAAAATGGTGGTGTGGACTGAACTTGATGCTTGGTTAATGCACTGATGACTATGGCTTGTGTATCGACACATCTCATTTTTTGTAATGTTTTACTTAGTACCCTGTGTCTGTATTCAATGCAATTTTCGTTTCATGCACTAATCATTTGTATACATCTTCGGATTTTTTTTGGTATGAAATAGACGTACAAGGGACACAAAACTATAAAGCTAAGTAAGAGGAGAGACAAGAGACAGTGGATTGCACAAGAGGAAAAGGTACTTATTGATGTATTGTATGAAATGAATGACTCTGGTTGGAAGGTGGACACAGGTCACAAGTCTGGGTACCTTCAGTTTATTGAGAAAGAGCTCGCTACAAGACTCTCAAATGCTAATATCAAAGTTGATCCTCATGTTGCTTCTAAAGTGAAGACACTTAAGAAGCTATTGTCCTATATATTGGATATTCAACAATCTGGTAGTGGCTTTGGCTGGGATGATGAAAGAAAAATAGTTGTTGGAGACAAAGAGCAATTCATGGGTTGGGCAAAGGTATACAAGGACATGCACATGCACCATACTTTTTTTTTCCAATCACATTTATTTTTTGCTAATAGCATAATATGTATGCAGAGTCACCCTGGAGCAGCAGCTATGTATGGGAAGCCCTTTGTGAATTTTGATAAGCTATTTGAGGTTTATGCTAGTGACTTAGCAAAAGGAGTGAAGGCCAAAGGCCCTAGAGATCAGTTTGAAATGCATGAAGAACTATCCTCAGGAAATGTGACTGAAGCAACCCACCAGTTCAAAAATGTAGTTGACTCCCATTCACAACCATCATCCCATGGTAGCATCGGAGCAAGTGGAATTAAATCTGCAGCATGTCGTAAGAGGGTATTTGTAGATGATGGCATGGTTGCATCGGAGTTCTCTAATATTTCTAAATTACTCAATAGTCTTGTTCAAGTAGAAGCAGCCAATGCAGAGGCTATGAATGCACAGCGGTGTGCATTCACCTAGGAACTTGAGGCTCAAAAGTGGACTGCTGAAAGGAGGGAGAAATTGTTCACCGTGCTCACAAAGTTTACTGAGTTTACTTCGGATCAAATCGTGAAGACTGCTCTAATGATTGGTCAGAATGAGGAATGGCTGAATCTTTTCTTTACTACTCCAGATGAATTCAAACCTGAGTTTGTTCGGCAAGTCCTGAAAAAATCTAAAAAGAAACTATAATTTAGTCATGCATATGGAGATCGTGTGCTCTCTTTTGTGTAGTATATAAGTAGCACGCTGAACTCCTAGTTAGTGGAAGTGGTCAACCATGGTTGACTAAAACTATGAACTTCCTTTTGGATGGCGGTCATCTGTATATTTTGATATGTGTAGTAAAAAATTCCAAGTGAGTTGCAATCACTTGGAATCCAGTGGAGTATATTTTGGTGCTGTGAAGTCAGAAGCAAAGGTGACTTCCAGTTACTAGGAGCCTTGCTAGAAGTTTGTATATTTTGTTAAGCTGTATACTTTGTTGCTAAAATCAGAAGATGACCTCTAGAGACTTGGCATCATGGTGGAAATTTATTGGCACTGGAATATGTATAGATGGAGTGTATGCATGTACTATGCCTTAATGAATCGATGCTTCAAAAACTTGTTTTAGCCTTTGCGCTTTTATTTTGTGTACATGTCAAGCAATTGATAAAAAATGAGCTATAGCTTTGTGATGGTTTATTTTTTTGTCCTGAATAAGGGTATTATGGTCACTAAAATTTTTATTTCCATTCCCTATCTCACTCATGCCAAACAAGGGTATGGGTTTAAAGTCTTATATTCCTATCCCATACCCACCTCTTCCTATCCCTACCCATTTCCCTATCTCTAACCCAGGCTCCATCCAAACGCCACCTCAGGTCTGAAGCTGTTACAAGACATATGTATGTTTAACTGAGGGTTTCTACTAAGTTTCACACATCGAACCCTATTTTTCTTATTTATCTTCTGTTTGATTTTCAGGCATCCACTATAGGAAAGTCCAGCACCTTCTATTTCCTATCGCTGGCTAAATGTATCAGGTGGGAGCAGCAGGAATTGGAGCCCAAACCCTAGAACAGAAATCCAAATTAATGTGGGAAGAAATCAGAGGGACAAAACCAAAATAACAAAATAAGAGGAAACGGGAGTACCTAAAAGACGGTGCCGAGCCGTCTGGCGTACAAAAATGACAAAATAATAAGAGGAAATGGGAGTGCCTGAAAGACGAAGCCAAGTCGTCTGGCGTCTGAAGCCATGCTGTGCCGCCTGGGCGTCCTCCACCACTGGGACCTGAGAGAAGAAAAGATGAAGATGGAACAGCAGATCAAGTTTGAGATCGAGATAAAGGAGGGATGAACCTCAGTGTCAGGACGGTGTCGAGGTAGCTGATTTCATCTCCGACTCGGTACGGTATTATCAGTGAGTTGGTTCGTTGTATTTTTATTATAAGTGTATGTGAAGGGGGACAACACACTATTCCATGTTGAACGCATGAGGGCGTTACCTAGCTACCTGTAGAAGTACGTGAAGGAGATGGCTCAAGGCGTGGTGACGGGGTTGCTGGGAACCCTTCGCGTCCATCTGCCCGATCTTGACATGAATTTGATAATGATCGGGCAACCGGATTGGTGCAGCAAAGCCCAAATCAAAGCCGTGTTGGCGGTCCTTAACTCCTAAAAATAACCGTCAACACTCGCATAAAATCCTAGCCTACAGACACCAAACTTAGACATAGGGGTTTAGAACTAACAATTTTCACAAGTTTTGGTGTTTTACCATTTGCAGGAGGGCATTTATGGAAACATGGAAAATACATTCAAATGCGCAAAGAAACAAAGCGTAACAAGATATTGCGCAAAGCAACATGAGCCCAAGGGGGAGCAGGCATAATACCAGACAAATCAGGGCCAAGACAAAGAGGAGAATAAGGCCAAAACCCAAATCCAAACACCACCAATTAGCGCAAAACCCACGTAGGACCACTCTAGAAGACTAAAGATGACCGCACAACAAAATTGGACTTAAGGTGGCCCACCTAGGGTGCGGGTACACCCATGGTGGCTCACCTCGGGCCCAACCTTGTCAGGGCGGTTCAAACCGTCTATCTTTGGTCGGTTCTTGGGGTTTGGCCTAGGTTCAACGTACTTGGAGGTCGGTTTGGTGATTTCCAAGAGAGGATGAATACTTTTTCAAAGAACCTCCTCCTCTCCACCTATAAAAGCAGGCTCCCTACTCATTCACAACAACAACACACCAAGGCAAAGAGCACTGCACATTTGAGCAACACTCCAAGCGCTTAGGCCCTAGTAGCTATCTAGAGATGTGAGGGAGAGTATGGGGAAGCGTCGGGTTTGTCGGTGTCTCCCAAACTTGTACCTCGACGAACACCTGTACCTCAACGGTTATCCCACTAAGAGAGTGTTCGTGATTCTTATGTTATTAAGTCTTTGTTTAGTTAAGCTTTACTCTTACTTGTTTGCGGGTTCGTCGTCCGTTCTTATAATGGATACTCTAGTAGAGGGCCCTGATAAAGATGGATAACCCTACGCAACGCTATAGTAGTCAATAGCACAGACACGGTGTCTAGGCTAGATGCTACCTTGTTTGCCTCGTGCCCCACGGTCGAGGGGTAGGCGGCAGGTGGTGATAGCCATGTCTGTCCCTTGTAATCCCTCATGTTCGGATTCAACATAGAGCCGTAGGCCGGTATCGCTTGGCAGACCAGGTGTATGCTGGTGCCCGAAGTAAGCAAGTAGAAGTATAGTTTATCTATCCTTAGACTCGAAAACCATAGAAATCCATCTCAACCTCTTCCAACTCTACTCTTGTGTTGTCCTTGGATGAACTAGCTAGAAGAGTACCTCCGTTCCTTGTGGAAAATACGATACCCTGAATACTTCCGGGTGAAATGCTACAACGATAATTCCGTGCGCTTGCGGATTATTTCTATATGCATTAAGAAATACCAACAAGCCGCTGAAGATGAAGTAGAGAAGATAGCCTCGAGCTATGTAGATGGGTTGGAGTTCAAGTGAACCCGCCCCTCGTTTAATCTTGTGTACATAAACATGTAGTATGAATGTTATCAAATCAATTAAAGACTCGTGTTTGGTCGCAGTGGACGCTTGTCTCTCAATTTTATCATTGAACCGAGTTGCACTCGACTTGTAGTCGGCTCGCCGATTAGGATGCTTTTGAGTAGAAGGCTTTAGTTGACCGAAGTCGCTTCTAGACTTGGCTCTCTAAATAGGGGACTTAGTTTACCGCATCACTACAGACTTAGTCATCATGTAGGACTACTCGATCCCGCATAATTGTTAGTATTTGAAGTAGGGGACTTAGCCGACCGCATCACTACAGACTTAGTTGTCATGTAGGACTAGTCGATCCTGCATACTTGAAGTCGCAGCTAGGTACGGGTTCGACAGGAGGTAGCGCACAGGCTATATGTCGATAGGATTGCAACATGAATACTACATATTTGGTTTGGAATATTTATGACCTTTACTTGTGGTTAATTTTCTTTGTTTCTTGTTATATTATCATGAGTAAAATGCACCATGGTTCTTAAACTTTTCATGGATTCTCAACTGAGTCCTTAACTAGAAAGTGATCATCTGGGTCCTCAATCTACTGTAGATTCTCGCCTAGGTCCTCTAACTAAAAAGTGATCATTTAGGTCCTTCAACTAATGTTGTGCCTAAGTAGAGGTCCAAATCCCACCACGACACTTCTATAAGCCCACGTGGTTGTGCTAGTGTGGATGAGGCTGGGTGAAACTTGCAGAAAGAACCCCTCCTTCACCATCTCCTCCACGTTCACTTCCTCTGTCTCGTCAGTTCCATGCCCGCCTCGCGGCTATGCCTATGTGCTCTCCCCGCCAACCTTGCGGTTATGCCTGCGCTTTGGAGGCACACGCTCAATGGCCATAGAACAAACAAAGAGAGGTGGACTACAAGAGAGAGAGGGGGATTGTAAAGGGAGAGAGTTGGAGATGGAGGTTTTTTAACCTTAATCACCACGACCACATAGGAAGCTAACAGTGGCGTGGCAAGTTTTAGACCTTTAGTTGAGTACAATAGTGGATTGAGGACTTAGATGGTTATTTTTTTTGTTCGAGGTCACAAGTGAGAATTAGAGATAACTTGAGGACCTAGATAGTTTTTGTTTTTTAGTTCGAGGACCCAATTGAGAATCAATAAAAAGTTGAAGGACCCAGGATGCATTTTACTTTAGTTATTCACCATTATTTATGATTTGGTATATATATAAAATGAGAAATACCGAAATGCATCAACTATGGTGCAACCATCGGTCAGCATTAAGACCCATCGATGATATTGATGGAGACCAGAGCCAACTGATCTGGCATCAATCAAGTATATATAATATATATCAACTTGCTTATCAGCGCCAAGATGTCACCTTGGATTCCATGGTAGTCCAAGTGGGGGTGAACCGTTGATGCAGATGATGGGCATACGGACATCCTGCACTGCCTAATGGTACAGAATGGGGGGCCGGCTAGCAAAGGTGACTGAGGTGGGGTCCATCCCAGATCTGTCCATTTGATTTGTAGGTGATCTGTTCATTGTGGTCAATTACTGGTGTGGTTGCTAAGGAGTGAGAGAGCTTCACACACATCCTAATTCAAATAATATAATATAATCCTCATTGTTGATGATACGATCCACGTTCTGATTGGAGCTACTATAAACAACTGATACTGATGCAACTTTGCCTATTTAATTTAAATTAGTATAGTGCTGGTTTACCCCTAAAAATAATTAAGGACAACAATAACACACCAATTCAAACCGTCTATCTTTGGTCGGTTCTTGGGGTTTGGCCCAGGTTCAACGTATTTGGAGGTCGGTTCGGTGATTTCCATGAGAGGATGAATCCATTTTCAAAGAACCTCCTCCTCTCCACCTATAAAAGCAGGCTCCCTACTCATTCACAACAACAACACACCAAGGCAAAGAGCACTG